GGCATCATTCTATAAAAAAGGTATGTCATTCGGTGATGAACGAAGTATTCGGCTTATTCGGTGGATTCTAGTTTACAACAGATTACACAAATCAGTATAGATGGAGAAAAATACCACTATAAGCATAGGAAGAACAGAAAACAGATTTGAAAACAGAAAGTAAGTTCAGAACTGTTCTTCAAAAGAGTTGTTTAACAATTTCTTTTCCCTTAAAAATATTTCTTGAAGAATAGAGAAGAAATTATATATTACTTGAAGAATAGAGAGAAAAATAGATGAACGGGGGGTTGAAAGAGAGTTTGAGTGATTTGAATCTTTGAACAATGGTTCTCTTACTCTTGCCAACATTTCTTTTGTGAAAGAGGAAAAAACTTTATTACATAAGATTTGAAAACAGAAAGTAAGTTCAGAACTGTTCTTCAAAAGAGTTGTTTAACAATTTCTTTTCCCTTAAAAATATTTCTTGAAGAATAGAGAAGAAAAAAGATGAAGGGGGGTTGAAAAGAGAGTTTTGAGTGATTTGAATCTTTGAACAATGGTCTCTTACTCTTGCCAACATTTCTTTTGAAAGAGGAAAAACTTTTTATACAAAAAGATGATAATCCCATTAGAAATTAACGCTGGGATTATTGCTTTAATGAGCAATGAGGTTTCTGACATTTTTAAAATAAAGAGAATGCATGGGCTATATTTGAAAAGGGCTGTCAGACTCCTTTTAATACTCACACACGCAAGGCTTGGAGGTGAAATGTTTAGTTTAAATACCCATATCACTTTTACAATAGAAATAGGCAGTTGTATTAGAAATAGACAGTTGTGTCAGAAACAGAAACTACTTTTGTAGAAAATCATTTAATAGCCACTAACAAGATTTACTCCAAAAATCTTTTTCAAATTGGAAAACATGAAAAGCAATAATTTGACTATTTCCTCTTAATATTTTTATCAAAAACACTTCAAAATAATTTTAAGAGACATAAAATGAATTTTGTGCTTATAATGTAGTTTTCTCTCTATACTACAATAATTCCTAAGACTTAATAAAATACTAACCAAAAAAAAATATCTTCATAGTCTTCAATCAAAAAAAAAAAAATCTTGGATTGTAGGAGCTTGATTTCTTCAATAACTTAACGTAAAAAATTCTGCATAAAATAACTTTAACACATATAAAAATATTAAATTTATTTGGTTTGTTTAATCATCAAAATCTTAGGATAAATTGACCTTAAGTCAACAAGACAAATATGAAGGTTTAATGAAGGAAAGAGTGTGTATGAGGTTTAGCCATTAATGGAGCAAAAGAAAGAAGAAGGAAAATAGAGGGGGAGAAGAGAGTATGCGTTGGGTTTGGGGGAGTGATATGAGATGAGAGTGTTTTTCTTTTGTTTGGGTAAAAAGAGTGTATTAAACTTTAGTCCATAGGTTAATAATGTGTATAAGGCTACTGTCCATTAAGTATTGGTGTTTTAACTCTTGTACAAAAGAACCTTTTTAAAATAATATCCTTTGGTCTTTGCATTTTAGTTAGTGCATTGAATCTTGGTTAAAAACCATTAGTCAATGAAATCTTGGTGCAAACACCAAGTTTGTCTTTATTATAGAATGATATAGATTTAATTTGGTCTTTTTCATTCCAATGACTAGAATTCGACACTATGCACATCCATGATATATTTTCTAATTGTCTAGCATAAATTGTACTATGTTACCAAAACACGGTCCCACATAGAGCAAATTACTAAAATGTCCTTATAACATTGGAATTTATCAGATTAAATCATGTTAATGCATGATTAGACTCTAGAATGATTTAATGCATGTTAATGACATATTTAGAAAATATGGATGTGACTTCCATCACGGAGACCTAGCTCCACTATGCCGCATAAGAGCCTCAGGCCGTTTGGATGAAGCTGACTGACAGTAGTATTATAGTCATTAAAAAATGACTTCAGCGACTCGGATAAGGGAAGGCGAACTCCAGATCTGAAGTTTTCCTCATATAACATGATCGATTCGCTATCTAAGGGCTCATTTACCCTCATATACTCTAAGGGCCGAACCAGTTTATACTTCGGTGTGATACCATACATGGAACATATGTCCAAGAGCTTGCCCTCATCTATGTCAGAAGGAATGTCGACAAACCTGATGTTTTCTTTCCTACCCTTCGCTTTGCATACCCCATAATCAACAACTTTAGCATTCTCATCCTCGGACTGATCAACTAGTCGCTAGATGAACCCATGATCCCCAACAACAAAGAAAAATGTAGAAGATAAGCAACTTACTTGAACAAGGAAAGCTAGGGAGAGAGAGAGAGAGAGAGAGGAATGAGGTTGTAGAGAGAGAAGCTCTGATAGTCAAACAATGAAGAGTGGAGCAAATGATCAAGGAAGATGGCCCTATATATAGAAGGGGGAGACACTGATAAGTCATCCACATTTAATAAAGGGACTTTTGGACTACCATTTGACAAACGAACCAACACCTTGTTTCTTGCAAAAAGAGTTATTTCTTAATGACATAAGTGAACAAAAGACATCCTATTGAAAAGACGGTGTAAAAATAAAAAATAAATACACCTAATCACACTTTTGAATATAAATGACCAAAAACTCAAGGGGGACTGATAATATACAGCAATAAAATAAAAAAAAAATGTAATAATAAATCTAAATATTAGATTCCTAAATAAACTCAAACTAATAAATAATGTAAAATTTCTATAATCATTACCCTAATATAATTATCCTTACTTCAATATAAATATCTCAATTTTCACCCAAAAAGATGATCTCTCAATACCTAATTTCTGAGAACATAACAGATAGTAACTCGGATTTGAAATGAAGAGACAAATGGTGCATTTCTTTTACGAAGTATTCCTTAAAGTTTAAGATTTGCAGAAAGATCATCCTCAGAAAGAAACGAAAGGGCCACTAGTTATTATTATTATTATTATTTTGAAAGGAAAAGGGCCACTAATTAATCAACCACTCTTTCATTTTTTTTTTATTTTTAAATTTTTTACTTTGTGATATGCTTTCATAATCACAATTGAGCCAATAGTTCATCAGTTTTTGAAAATATGTCAAATCAAAAAGTAAAATTCTTTCTGGATATGAAAAAAAATCGTTCTGCATTTAAATTAAAACTGATTATTTAAATCAACAGGAGTTCTAAAATGAAAAGATTTTGGTTCTTTAAATAAGAGATCGAGTGCGTGATTCTTGTGAATTAAAAAAAAAAAATTGTCACTAGAACCACTTTTTTCTTATGCAGTAAGATTAGGATTAGCCAAATGGACTGAAAACACGTGTAGAAAAAAAAAAAAAAAGAAAAAAGAAACTGATTATTTAAAAATATGTATGTAAATTACAACTCGGCCCATTTGGATTATCAGAGTTTTGGTTTTTAATTTTTAATTTAAAATATATTTATAATTGAAATATATGTATTTTCTCTTATTGAGATTTATTCTTTAAAGATTATAAAAGTAAATTTATAAAATGAACTGTTTTATTTTACTTGACTATTTAACAATATTTAGAATACAAAAATAAAAATAAAAAACAGAAATAATATTTGCACGACTTTCCTTTACTGGTTTTTCCGGTTCATTCAACTTAATATTGAAAAATCAGTTCTTTTATTTTTGAGTTGTCGGTTTCGATTTTAATACATTTTTTGATGATTTATTTTCAGTGAATCTTTTTTTATTTTCTTTTTCTTTTACCGAAACTACCATGTTACTGAAAGTTTTGAATTGTTCTTATTGAAATGAGACCAAAATGATCCCTCGTATAATTGAATGGATTGAATTGATTTTGATTTCAATTTGAACCGAATAATCATGGAAAAGAATGTTTTTCTTTGAAAAGAAAATGCTCTTCAGACTTATCCTTAGAGTACAAGGTTTTAGTCAATTTGCCTATCCCAATGGATATTTGATTGAATTTTCTTGTAAAACTGAGGCTAAAAACAGGTTCAACAATGTATTTTTAAACCCAGACATAATCAGATAAATGAGCAGCTAAAGCCTAAAAATAATGAGACACTGACATTTAAAGGTGGCCCCAAAAGGCAAAACTTTATTTTGAAAATTTGTTCCATTTTGTGAAATTTGGTCCATACAACAATTGATCAATACTTTATTTTTCTTGGTAAGGTCACTTTATAGAAAGGACTAGACAAGTTTATCATTTCTTCTTTATTCCATATTATAATAATTCATATTCTATCCCATTTGAGTTTATACAAATAGTTTTTCACTTTCATTATATTTATATGTTTATGGTCATTTATCTGACTTTTGTATAGTCTGAGGTTAGACATCAAATCAAATACTAAAAAGCAGCTATACGTACATTTTTAGAAATAAAAAATTATAATTTTATCATTATAATTTATCAAAATTAATCGGCTTATCCTTATATTTTTAAAAATATACTATTTTTTCTTTAATTTTTTAATTCAGTTAAATTCTTGTATCCGTGTATTTAATTTTTCTACTTTTTCTGTTTAAATATTATATAAAAAGGCTAAAATATCCTTATAAAAAAATTTACATATCTTAAAACCTGGAAATTTCTCTGCTTTTTCTTTTTTGAATTCTATAAATTATTTCTATTTTGTTTAATTATCAATTTTGAGAATTGTCCAACTAATGAAGCTGCTTTGCGTATGGAAGCTTCCAGCTTTTTTTCTACTCCTCTGCTAATTACTTTTTGAGAATTTCCTCTTACCTATGAGCATAATCAAAATATTCAAATTAAACATTAGATATAAAAAAATAGAAATTGGTTTAAACAAAAAAACTAAGAGACAAGAGAGAAACTAATCATCTATCCTCTCGTTTTTTAAGAGTGAGCTTAGTTTTGTAGTGAAAATAGAAAAAGGGAAAAAAAAACTAAGAGATGGAGATATTAGTTGACTGACTTACCATGGCAGTATCATTTCTGACTTACAATTTTAAAGAGTTAGAGATGAAAAGGGAGGGTCGAGAGGTAGAAGATGAGGGTAATTTCGTTACGGAAGGGAAGGGCAACATAGTTTACTAAAAGTAACGAGATCACGCTAATTATTTTTAGCAAAACATAAAAATAAAATCGTAATTTTCTCTTTTTAAAATGTTATAGAGCCAATATAAGTATGCATATGAGCCCACAGAAACGCGTTGTTACGTATCTATTTTTGATAGTGGAAGATAAGGCTGAAAAAGACTATAGAAGAGGGTTTTTTAAAGACTACGCCACAGGTGGGAGTAAAGCCAAATGGGAAGTAAAAGGATGGCGTTATTTCTGATTGTTTTCTTCTTCTACTTGTATTTATTAGCTTCTTCATTTCCACTTCACAAGCCCGCTATTGTTTCAGGTATTATTCTTCTCTTCTTTCGCTCCTCTGCAAAAAAATCATCCTCTTCTGTTACTGACAGCTTTTTGCTTCCAGTCTGTAATAATTCTTGCATGGCATACAATATATGCAAAATTTTCAATTCAACTATCCCTTATTCGATGTTAATGGATTTGAAACATACAGAGTCTGTTCTCAAATAACTCTGTGTTTGGTATAGATGAATTCATAACTTAAAATTCACTTATAGATAAATATGGGATTTGGTTTAATTAAGCTAAAATTGAATTTCATAAAAGTTGAGTACCATCCTCGTTTCTTCTTATAGATAATAATAAATAATTCACTTATAGGATAAATACCATCCTCCTTCTCCTTCTTCTTCTTCTTCTTCAGAGGCAAGGTTGCTTGAAGCTAAAAAGATTTAAACCTAGCTTCAAGCAAGCTCCACCAAGGATAGCTTGGTTTAAATCCTTTCATTTCCTAGCCTCTGAAAAAGAAGAACGAGGATGGTATTTAGCCTGCAAGTGAATTATCTATAGTTATAACTATAAATTAGTTCCAAAGCAAGAAACAGAATCTGATACTCCATAATGAAAATTTCCTAAAGAACTTTATTTGAAATTTCAGATAATAATTGCCATGGATTTGCCAATTCAATTCAACTATTTTGAAAGAAAGTTCAATTTATATCACTTAATTCTATGCAGTCTCTGATTTTGTTTGTGAATCAAGAGAAGCAAAGCAGTATTCTTAAGAAAATATTCTTAATGATACACTAAATTAATCAGAAATAAAACTTTGAACTTCCTAAGCCAACCCTTTCTTTCCATTTTAAAGATGCAAAGTTATTGTCTTCCACATACAAATGCTAAAAAAATTCCTTCATGCAAATTGTTTTCAAGGACAGAAGATTGGTCTTAATATACACTTTGGTCCTTTTCATTTAAGAATTAGAATCTTAATCTTAAGTTTTGTCACGGAATCAACACTTTAATCTTAGCTATGTATCAAAATTATGAATTCTTTTATCACACTTTAGTCCTTGTCATTTCAAATTAAATTGCACATTAATCTTTAAAACTAAAAAATCAATTTCTTTTCAATTCCCAAATCTTTTTTTTTTTCTTCTTTTTTGATTCATTGGGAGACTCAATGCGGTGAAATAACACTACGGACTATACAATAAGAGTAGTCATCCCTCTTCACTCACCAAATTGGTGAAAACGCTTCCGGATCTCTCACTCCTCACATACGTAAAAAGACCAAATTGGTAATTCTCTTTTTTTTTTTTTTTTTTTTTTTTTTTTTTTTCTTTTTCAATTCCCAAATCTTTTTTTTTTTTCTTCTTTTTTGATTCATATGGGAGACTCAATGCGGTGAAATAACACTTACGGACTACTTACAATAAGAGTAGTCATCCCTCTTCACTTCACCAAAATTGAGTGAAAACCGGCTTCCGGATCTCTCACTCCTCACATACGCTAAAAAAAAAAAAAAAAAAAAAAAAAAAAAAAAAAAAAAAAAAAAAAAAAAGAAAAAAAAAATTGACCAAATTGGTAATTCTCTTTTTTTTTTTTTTTTTCTTTTTTTTTTTTGTATTAACCTTTTTTGTTGTAAGAGGTTAAATATTTTTTTTTTTTTTTTTTTTTTTTTTTTGTTAATTAACCTTATTTTGTTGGTAAGAGTTAAATAATGATGATTTTTACCTCTACATTACAAGGAAAATAATATATCATAAACCAGTTGCTCAATTCATTCTGGTAAATCATTGTTTGCTATGCGAGGCTCACAATATTCAAAGACAGATTTTTTGCAGGAGCATAATTTCGGACCTGGAGGAAGACATGAAAATGAATTCAATGGAAGAAATGGTATAATACATGTTAGCAAATATGCGCATGGAAGTGGCGGTGGGGTGGGGGAGGCAGCAGCCATGAATGGCGGAGGGGCAAACGGTGGTGGATCAACTGGTGCAGCTGAAGGTGGGAATGGGAATGGTAATACACAAGGAGGCCAAGCAGTTATCCCTGTTATTGTAGCTGGTGCTGCTAATAATAATCGCCACCAGAGACACCGTGGGGCTGCTAGTTGCAACAAGAACTGCATAAGATTTCCTGCTATGATAGTGGCAGCTTCGGCCATTATTATTGTGCATTTATGTGTGGCATTTTGATGCAAAAATAGATTTCGAGTTTATGTTTGCTTCCTGCAACATATAGCACCTAGCAGTAAAGAAAGCTGTGGTGTACAATTAATATCTGTAGCTTGTGAATAGTAAGATATATGTAACGATTATGTACAATTAATATCTATAAATTACTATTTATTAAGGTTTGCAAGATTAAGGTTTGTTTGATAAGTAGTCTTAAATATACAATGCCAATGATCCTTTTTCCCCTTTGGTTTGGTGGGGAAAAGACCACAGGTTTTTGTCCATAATGGAATATAATGTAATGTAGATCAACTCATTTATAGTTTAATAGTGTTGTTAGTGATTGAGCATCTATCCTGTAATGAAATCCTTAGATAAACCTTGAGAACCACTCCCCTTTAGGAATTTCTAATGCACCCAAAATAATAATAATAAGAATAATAAAAGCAGATTATACCATTAGTTGCTATGACCTTGTTCATGGACCTGCAAATGATTTTCCTATAACATAATATAAATCCTATATCATCATTCAAATATAAATCTGCTATTTCCCAGGAGAAGTTGCATATTTTTCTTATATACTGAATGAAAATTAGATGATTCATTAATCTGAACCTAAAGTAAAGTTGTGGCTTAAAGCAAGAGAAAAGTTTGCTAGAAATGAGTAAGTTGCTCAAGTTTACGAGCCTGGAAAAATTTGCAGCGTCCTTTACCACTTGATTCTATTTCTTCACTTTTCCTCTTGGGCGTTGTGACACCAAAACTACTCAACTTCAACTGACGTTTGCCATTGTTACTGCCAGAACCATCTTCGTCTTTATCAGATTCCCTATTAAGATAATAAGATCAAAAACACAATTATGACCAAGAGAAGCTTCGCAAGTGCCATAATTTCTCATTATCATAAATCAGGGATGCAGCAAGGAAATAGAGCATCAATGAATTTTGCTTGCAACAGATTGTTTGTCATAAAAGGTAGTCCAGTTAGTATTGCAACCAAATAAAGCAGTTACATACACAAACATTAAGTTCAAGAGCTCCCATTAAAGAGCATTGTGATTACCACATGAGAGAGATAATGCATACTTACATTCACCTAATATTTATGTTTGTGCGTTAGCTATGAAGCACTGATGCTTCAATCTTGAAAAATACATATCCGTGTTGGGCGAACATGTTTTTGGGACTTTCTTGACGTGGCATGATATGACATGCGTCCGATAAACACATGCTATTTTTTGTAAGGATTGCAGTGTTGATGTATCCAACTTACCTCCCCCAAAAAACAATTCAAAATTCTATTTTCCCTTTAGAATTTTATATATATACTTAAAAAATATCCATACTGGCCCTCCAATTTTACTTTCATTTCTTTCCCCATCCCTCCAAATACTTTAAAATCTAGTTCTGCCCATGTGTCAGAGTCCTGTCTCTATATCCATGTCATTGCTTCGTCCCTCAGCATAGGATCTTTGACCCATGTGTCAGAGTCCCGTCTCTATGTCCATGTCATTGCTTCGTCTCTCAGCATAGGATCTTTGACAAACCTCCATTTGATTTCCAACAAAAGTAAGCATTAATGATATGTTTGGGAAAAGGAAGTAAAATAAGAGTGTAAAATGGCACTATTGATTTTCCTCCCAAAATGGAGTGAAAATGAGGCTAAAATGAGTGTAAAATAAATTTATTTTACACCCCCCTTCATATTTTCACCCAAACCAAACAAGAGAATCTGATAACCCTAAAAAATTTTCAACCCTATTTTACATCATCCATATTTTACACAATTATAAATTCGTCTCTTATTTGGTAAACATACTTATTAGGCCCTAATATACAGTTTCTTTAAACTATTTAGTCTTCCATCCAAAAAGGTGTCATTCAATTAAGTGAAAGAATAAATAGTAACTTAATAATAAATATAAGGCACTTTTTGGATAGATAGACTAAATACGTTAATGGAATTAAATCTCAGGAACTAATTATTGTAATTACAAACAAGAGGGACTAAATCAAGTAAATGCATGCAAAATGAACAATTTAATTTACCACCAAGTATATTTTTATCCGCAATAAGCCTCTTATCAGAATTTGCAAGCTCTCCTTCAAACGACGGAGTGCTGCTAGTCATAGCGGCTGCCATCTCTTAGCCTTCTACAACTCAAACAGCAAGTCATCCAGCTAAATTGCTCAAATCACAACGATTAGGCCATTGGAGCCCCTCTTAGATTCAAATCCTCCAACAATGGGTGGATTCAGCATGGAGCAGTCATCTCCCATTGAAGAGACTTGTAAATTTAATGGGAAAAAATATTTTTCTATATTTGATTCATCAATAGGGACACATATATATACACATACAAGATACTATAAACCTAATAGGAATCTAACTCGGGTTCTCCTCCACAACAAGTGGATGGATTCCATTGCATGGAGCAGTCATACTCTCCATTGAAGAGAACGTTGTAAATTTAATTTGGGGAAAAAAGTATTTTTTCTAATATTATTGATCATCATAGGGACACATATTATATAGCCATACCAAGATACTATATAAACCTATATAGAATCCTTAACTCCTAATGAGTTCTATTTACAACTAATCCTTAAACACTGACCGCCTTCAAGTTGGAGCATTAGATAATTAATCATGGCCTAACTTGTTAACAAGATAGTCAAGCATCCGGTGGGTCCGTTTAGAGGGCTTTTGTAAGATATCCCCTAAACTGTTCACGCTTGCTAGGTCATTGTTTTTAACGTGTCCTTTGTTGAAGAGAATAACACCTTTGGGTCTGTCTATCTTTTCGATGAAATGAAATCATCTCGACATGTTTGTTGCGTTCGATGGAATACTTGGATTGATGCAATGTGGATAAGAGCAGGCTGATTATTTCACAGCCATATACTTTGCATGGGCAAGGATTGACTTGAGCCATATTTCCTCTAACAAGCTGACAAGAATCCAAGATTAATTCACAAGCAGATTGTTTGCCATAGCTCGATATCTGATTCAGCACCTCCGAGTGCGTGAGACTACATTGTTGTTATCTTGCTGCCCAGGGCTCCATGATATCTAAAGTTTCCAACCTAACAAAATACACAATATGTCCTGTAAGTTGATTACTTATGCTATCGAACACTTCCGACCTGTCCCAATCCGCATCTTAGATAAAAGCAGACATTTCAATCATGTTCAAATGCCTACGTGATTTAGGCTGTAAGCAGAGTCCACGATCGCTGAGTAAATTCTTTCAAGTATGCACAGAAATCTGTCCTAAGATGCTTTCCCATGGGTAACAGTAGGAGAAAGAGCTATAAACTTGGCTCAAAGAACGGCTCACAGAGTAAGTCAATTAAATCTGGACTGTGTTACGGTAACATTTCATATTTGCTCATGAACCGTCTATAACAATCTCGGATCATGCAATTACCTAGCTTGCACCCACCCAATTTGAACGAGTGTGTTCGGGCAAATGCGAGTTGAGTCATTTGGAGCAACCGTGGCATCGATGTATACGATCCTATCTGTCAGTGGCTTGGCACCAAGAGCTGCATACTTTCCAAGTTTCCTTCAGTAAGACTCAAAGGCACTAATAGACTCCTTTGAGATATAAGAAGGATAATGGACTGTCTGACTTAATCGATACTGAGATCAGTTGCATCTGCTGTCATTCTCTACCCGACAAGTAAAATACGTTTCAACTATATCCGCTAAGTCTTTTTGTCTGGGAATGCGTGGGTTACTGGAGAAATGATTGAGTGAACTGTAATGGCGGCTGAATCACTCCCCTGTAATAACAATGTCATCAACATAAACCACAAGTAGAAATCAAAACCGAGTCTTAGTGCTTCTGAAAAATACAGAAATTATCAAGATGTAAGTACTCCTGCATGCCAAAATTGGATGTACGCCACTTGCAAATTCTACCAAACCTTAAGCTCGAGGACTCTGTTTCAGGGCCATATTAGAGATTTTTCGAAGTTTACCACCACTTTACCCGCTATGCCCCCTGAGCAATCAAGCCTGGTTGGTTTTGCTTCCATGTAAACTTCCTCCTGAAGATCCCCATGAAGAAAGGCATTTCCTTAACGTCCAGCTGATGCAAATGCGCAGTCATAAGTAGCTGCTAATGATTACATAAATAATCGACAGAAGACTAATTTGGTCAATAGGAGAAAAAGTAATCAAGAATAATCCAGGCCATAGATCTGAGATAATAGCCCTTTTGCCAACTAATCGAGCTTTTGAGAAGCAGAGCAATCAGTCCCATGCAGGATTCAACTTTAACGGGTTGAAAATCCCTTGACACGCAATAGATTTCTTACCTGCCGGAGAGGAGGCACGATCCCAAGTACCATTAGTAATCTAAGGCGCCCATGCTCCTCTTTCATTGGCTGCAGTGCACCAACCACAGGATTGGGGAGCAAGCTTGGACAACATGTCTTTAAAGGAATAGATACAGAGTCCTATTAGTTACTATCAAGAACAACGAGATGAAGAAGAAAGATGATCATAAACTAACAAAAGAGGAAATACGGGTAGGTACACTGGGCGTTTAACCTTTTTCGAAGAGCAATAGGATAAGGTCAAGGTCCTGACTGGGGGAATGGATATGGCAGCAATCGCTCAAGGTTGAGTGGAGAGAAACCGGAATCTTCTGTTGAAAATCGGCAAGGTGGAAGGGTAAGTGAGGTCAAGAGTGTCCTGGTTCTCACTGAATAAACCTGTTCGAAAAACTGAGGGCGTGTTAGATTGTTGGTGCAGGGAGCGGGAAATAGGAGCAGCAGACGCTGGAGTAGGAGTGGAGCAAGGTCAGGATACGAACAGGAGCAGGAGAGTATCGACTTGCCGGAATAGTATAGAACTAAAAAGGGTCGTTCAATCCTCCCTCACATCTTATATATAGATAGAAGGAGAAAAATGGAGTAATTCTCAAAAAATGTGACTCTGCAGAAATAGAGAATAGCGGTCAAAGATCGGGAGAAAACAACGATGAGCCGTCTTTTTGACGCCGAGATACCCAGGATAAACACTAGACGAAATGTAACTTTGGAATGTTAATTTGGAAACCTGTGGACGAACATCACTGAACAAAACAAGTACACCAAAGAATATCCGAGGTTCAATGGGGAAGTAGTAAGTGTTAGAAGGAAACAAGACATTATAAGGAATTGCAACCATGTTAGCACGAGATAGAAGGCATGCCGATTAATACAATACAATCATGCAGTCGAGAAATAGCATCAGTCCCAAAAAATGTTTAGGAAACCTTCATTAGAATAAAAGTGCGCCCCTAGCAACCTCAAGAAGATGTCGATTCTTTTCTTTGTTGCAACCCCATTTTTGAAGAAGGAGTATCAACACAAGATGTTTGATGGGAATAACCATTTTTGGGTGACATATAGATTGGAAATGGAAGTAGATTAGATATTTCTTTAGCATTATGCATCTGTGCAATATGCAATACAGAAGTATTAAATCTGAGTTTAATTCAGTACAAAAAGAACAGAAAATAAGAGAATATTCTCAGAACGAGTTTTCATTTAAAATAACCCAATTGTAATACGAGAATATATCATCCACAAAAGTTACAAAATAGCCTGAAAGCCAGTTGTACGAAATAACAGGACATAAGACCCCAAAACATCAGAATGGAACTAAACTCAAAAAGGGGATGAAGCCTTGTTACTTGAAATCGGGAGATTAAAAGGTAAACGATGATGTTTGGTGGTCAAATTGACAAGATTCACCATTCTAAAACTGGGGATTAAAGACTTGAAACTGCAGACACAACTTCCTTGAAAGTAGACGGTGGCAAGTGACGGATA